CCCCGCCCCCGGCCCCGCGCCCGAACTACCCCGGGCTCACGAGGGTGGGGTGTAGCCCCGGGGGGGGCCCGAGGTCGGGCCAAAAGTGCAATATTGCAGTTTGGCCCAAGGGGTGCAGGCTGCGGCTGCGCACCCCCCTGTATTTTTTTTATTTTGTTTTGATTTTTGTTTTGATTTTTTTTTTTTTTATTTTTTTTTACTTTTTTTGTCGGGGCCAGGGGTGCACTCGACAACCCTGACCGCGCGGCCTAGGGAGTCACCGTTCACTTAGTGTCCAAGTGATTGTCTATGTGGTGGCAGTACCGGAGGTCGTCCCGTAGTTGCACTGCCGACTTCAAGTTTTTTCTTTCCAGATCACATAGCTGTCCCACCCGCATGACCCCATGCTGCACCCACCCCTTCCATGGTGATCCTCAACTGCAGAGCAGTTACCCTGAGTGAGGTGTAATCCACCGGTTTCCAAATAGTGGCGGTTGGGCCACTTCGTCCCATCGTTCAGGTGCTTGCTTTTTAGGGAGGGGGGAGGACCCTCAGGAAAGGCCCTACCCTGCAAAAAGAAGCCTGGGTGGCAATCAGGGATCGACCAGGAGTGGTGGGCAAGGTTGTGCAACAGAACACGGATGGTACGGTGACAATGAACCTCTACCGGGTGAACTCGAACAATGAGATGCAGAAATTAGAAAAGGAGGAAACTGTAAGAAATCACAAAGAAGGTCTGTTCAGAATTAGGGTGCTGCAAGAGAAGCACCAACTTACAACATTCTTCCCACACTTTCCAATTCACCAATTGGCCCTGGACCCGGCTGAATGGACATGGTCAACAGTTTTAAGGCAGGGCAAGAAATTTACGAAATCCTTGCACAGCCTAATGGTCAAGGCGACCTATAGGCTCCTCAGACCAAAACTCAATCTGCGGGACCAAGTGGAGGAGCGCTGGATGAGGCACTTGAACATAAGCAAAAATAACCTGAAAAGAATAAAATGGTTCAATTTGGTAAAAGTTAAACCTGCAAAGGTGGCTTCACTGCAATGGCAAATAGAGCACCGGTGCCTTCCGACCAACGATTGGCTTATAAACAGAACCCGCCTCGAGCAGATGGGGAGAGCCCTGCCCTGGTGCAGACTGTGCAAGGACGCTTTCCCATCTCGGAAAAGGCCCGAGACTATCGAGCACATATTTTTGCAGTGCCCAGGTGCAATTTGGCTCTGGAGATGGTGGGACAAAATCTGGGACCAATTAGGAACACAATCCCCATGGTCATGGGATTGGAAAGCCTTGCTCTGCGAAACATGGAGCAATGATGAGCCAGATGAATTCACTACCAACATGTTCAAATTAGGACGCAGGGCAGTGCTTTGGGCTCTTTGGAGACGGCGTTGCACCTACGAGATGGAACGAGCAAGACTAGAGGGGCCAGAATTTACGGACATAGTTCTGCAGTGACCAGGTGCAATTTGGCTCTGGAGATGGTGGGACAGAATCTGGGACCAATTAGGAACACAATCCCCATGGCCATGGGATTGGAAAGCCCTGCTCTGCGAAACATGGAGCAATGATGAGCCAGATGAATTCACTACCAACATGTTCAAATTAGGACGCAGGGTAGTGCCTTGGGGTCTTTGGAGATGGTGTTGCACCTACGAGATGGAACGAGCAAGACTAGAGGGCCCAGAATTTGCGGACAGTATTCGACAACAAATCCAAACAGAAATTACAGCAAAATGGGAGGCAGTCAAAACCCAATTACAAACATTACTCTCAAGAAAAAGACATTCAAATAAAAATATAAAATTTTAGCTCGAGCTGGCTGGGAGGGGGCAGTGGGGGAAGGATAGGAAGAGTGGAATGGAAAGGTGGACAGAAATCGGGGGAGGGTTTAGAAAGGGACTACCAGCTTCTGTTCAACGACTAGACAAACATAGACACAGCGATTCCCATGAAACCCGCCCAAGAGTTTCCAGACCCCTTCCCCCCTCCCTCAAACTGTATAGTTGACTTAAAATGGTATGGAAGGGATTGATGGCAAGCAAGATTGGCAAAAGGTTAGGGGTAAGGCTTGTAGTCTTTGGTATTCCTGGTTTTCAGGATGCGATAGGAGGAGGGAGGAACCAGCAGGCAATGTTAGTATCTGGCGCCGACCCTGAGGTGAAGAGGTCCCTCCCATACCCCAATCCCCTGCTCAGTCAATCCCTTGCATTACGGGGCATCAATGCTGGCAGGAACACAGGTGTAAAAGGGACGCTTGTGACGCGCTAACCTCACGCCCTGTGCTGTCTTTCGTTCGGAGTGTGAGACGTGCGGAAAGAGGCCCAGAAAAACAGCAAGATGGGGTGTGCCAAGGATTTTTGGGAAATTGAGTGTGGGGACACAGATGGAACTGAAATCCCCCGTGATGGTCCGATGAAGCAAGTCGATTAGTTTCGCGCGTCGCGGAATGCGCGCGCGATCATGGCGCGAAAACAGAAAGATCCAAATTCAATCCAGAAAGTATTGTCGGGCTTCCCACCGGGCTACAGCCCGTCGTTTAGAACGGAAAGGCTCTGGCACGCTTCGCGTGTCTCGTTTTCGTATCAGATCTCGTCGTCGTTCGCTGGTCAGCTCCGAATCCGCCGTGGATGGTCTCAGCCGAGTGACTCTTTCCTTATGCTCGTCCTCACTCCGTCTTCGGTAGTGGAAGCCCTCCGCTTCGTAGCGATCGAAACGCTGGCACTCCGTGCACAGAGTGCGGGGCCAATGGGGCGCCACTGCCGTCCACGGAATGACGATCAGCTCGTTAAACGGCAACAATATCGAGTAGGGTGGAAAGTGCGTATCGATGATGACAAATCCAGCGTCTACGAACCCAGAACAACGGTTGGCCGGAGGGAAGTAATACTGCCCGCCGATTTGTGCGACGGCTTCTCGTACGTCCCACTCACATACACGTGTCCTTTCCTCACTGTAGGGAAAAGGTCGCGTTGGGATGGGAGATACGGGAGGCTGGCGCCCAATCGAAGGGTGCTTGTCGGACCACATATCAATCAATCACATATATCCAGAGGCATCATTAAGAGCAAAAATCATCCATGCGACCCTCAATCTACCCTTCTTGACACACGAGGGAGCAAACACACATCAGCTTGATCATGCATAGGGCTAAGGGACCGACCCACGACTCAGTTCAACACAACGTTGGTTTTCATCGCCTTGTTTCTCAAGGTTGCCTGATGGCGTGGCTGCTGATGTCGTGCCGCATAAGGCAGATGGCATGCGCAGTGCGTTCGGGACTACAGATCTAAACACTCTTGTATTCTCGAACAAAATCCCGACGACACTCGTCTAATCAATCCGAAAAGTCACGCATCTCTATACATGCATTCACTGTGGAAGGTGCGAAAATGAGACATTCATAGGAAAAGATGGATCGCATTGCACAGTACACACGCATCCACCGTTCACAAGACAAGTAGACGGGGTCCTTGCGTAGGAGGATTACCCAGGAAACTAATGGAAGAGTTCCGAAAGAAGTTCTTTCACAAAGAAACAGGAGGCCGACTCATTCCCATTCAAGAGAGGGACAATCATTCAGACGCATCGTCTTTCGATAAG